ATGGAAACTAATGACTCCATAGGACATCAAGAAACGATAAAACAAAGTCACAAGAATGAAGAAAAATAAAGTAGAAAAAAATGTAGATATATCATCAGAAAAATAGATTGAGGAAAGATAATTTAAGAATTATTAGACTACCAGAAAGCCAAGGTCAAAGATAAAGAACATACACATATTTCAAGAAATTATCAAGGAAAATTTCCCCAATATCTTAGAACCAGAGGGTTAAATAGAAACTGAAAGAATCCAGCGATCACCTCCTGAGATCCTAAAATGAAAGCTCCCAGGAATATTATAGCCAAATCCTAGAGCTCTCAGGTCAAGGAAAAAATATTGGAAGCAGCCAGAAAGAAACCATTCAAATATTGTGGTGTCACAATCAAGATCACACAGGATTTATCTGCTTCCACATTACAGCAGTGGAGGACTTGGAATATGGAGGGCAAAGGACTATTACACCAAGAATAACTCTGCTTATGAAAACTGAGTATAGTCCTTTAGGGGGAAAGTGGATATTTAATGAAATATAGAGGACTTTTGAAGCATTCCTGATGAAAAGACCAGAGCTGAAGAAAAAATTTGATATTCAAATATAAGACTTACGAGAAGCATAAAAAGATGAACATGAAAGAGAAATCATACGGGATTCAATAAGATTAAACTATTTATATTCCAGCATGGAAACATGATACATGTAATTCCTAAAAACTTTATCATGATTAGGGCAGTTAAAAGGAGTTTACATAGAGGGAATGGGTATGAATTGATTATGTTGGAATGATCTCCAAAAAAATGAAGGGGTAAAAATGAAGGATGCACTGGGAGAAAGGAGAAGGGAAAGGTAGAATGGGGAAAATTTTCTCACATAAAAGAGGCATGCAAGGAGGAGTTTTTACAGTGGGGGGTGGGAGTTGCGGGGGGAGTGCTTAAAGCTCAGTCTCATTGGAATTGGTTCAAAGAGGGAAGAATTACACACACACACACACACACACACACACACACACACACACACTCAGTTGTGTATAGAAGTCTATTTTACCCAGTAGGGAAATAGGAGGGGAAGTGGATAAGAGAAATATGAGGGTGGAGGGATGATGAAAGGGAGGGCAGATAAAAGGAAGCAGTGGTTAGAAACAAAGTAGATTTTTGAGGAGAGACTGGGTAAAAATAGAGGAAACAGAAGAAAATGAGATGGAGGGAAATACAAAGTAATCATAATTGTGAATGTTAATGGGATGAACTCACCCATAAAAGAGAAGCAGATAGCAGAATGGATTAGAAACCAGAATCCAACAATATATTGTTTACAACAGACACATTTGAGACAGAAATAGACACACAGAGTTAAAATAAGGGGCTGGAGCAGAATTTAATATGCTTCACCTGAACTGAAAAGGGTAGGGGTAGCAATCATGATCTTAGACAAAAACAAAAGCAAAGTAGACCTAATTAAAAGAGATAATCAGGGAAACTAAATTTTGCTAAAAGGTACCATAGACAATGAAGTAATATCAAAATTTTTATAGTAAATTTCTCTGATTAAGGCCACGCTTCTCAAATATATAGAGATTTAAGACAAGTTTATAAAAATAATATTCATTCCCCAATTATTAAATGGTCAAAGGATATGAACAGGCACTGTTCAGAAGATGAAATCAAAGCTATTTATAGTCTTATGAAAAAATGCTTTAAATCACTATTGATTAGGGAAAGGCAAATTAAAACAACTCTGAGGTATCACCTAACACCTAGGAAGAAATGATAAATGCTGGAGAGGGTGGGGGGAAATAGGCATACTAATAAACTGTTGTTGGAATAGTAAACTGGTTTGACCGTTCTGGAGAACAATTTGGAACAGTACCCAAAAGGCTATAAAACTGTGCATAACCCTTTGACCTAGCAACACCACTAGTAGGTCTGTATCTCAGAGATCAAGGAAAAAGGAAAAGGATGTGTATGAACAAAATATTTCTATCTGTCTTTTTTGTAATGGCAAAGAATTGGAAATTGAGGGGATGCTTACCAATTGGGTAATAACTGAACAAGGTGTAGCATCTCATTGGGATGTAAAAAATGACAACAGAAGTGGTTTCAGAAAAAAACAGCAAGACCCATATAAACTGATGCAAAATGAAGTAAGAAGAACCAGATCGTTGTGCACAGTAACAGCAATGTTGTAATGATGATCAGCTGTGAAAGACTTGGCTGCTCTGATCAGTACAATGATCCAAGACAGTTTGAAAGGAGTCATGATGAAAAAATGCTATCCACCACCAGAGAACTGATGAACTCTGAGTGCAAATTGAAGTATAATTTTCTCACTTTATTTATTTATTTATTTGCAGTATGGCTAGTATGGAAATATGTTTTGCACGATTTCATATGTATAATACCTTGCCTTCTCAGTGGGTGGGGGAGGCAGTGGGAGAGAGAGAGAGAATATGGAAGTCAAAACTTAATGGGAAAAGAATGCTCAAAATAAATAATAGAAAGAGAAACTACTTTTAAAATTACAGCAGTTTGTAAAAAAGAATCATTTTAAGAATATCAAGAACTAAAGCTTTAAAGTATGTTTCTCCGTGCCAGTTTTATTTAGGAGCTTGATTGAAATGATATATAATGACTCCTTACTCTGGAAGAGAAGTTGGCTGAAGCTGCTGGAGGGCCAGGGAGTTAATGGAGAAACCTGTGTCTTTTAATCATTGATCTGGACCTTACCGTGGTATAATTCAAGTTCCATCTGGATAGACTTTTCTAGCCCCTAGTCTTTCTCCATTTCCTTTCCTTAAAACAGGCACCTCTTTTATCTTCCCCAGGTTTGACCCAACCTCAAGATGCTCAGATACATGTTATGTTTTCTGCCACATTTTAAATTATTTTAGTTTTTAATAATTGTTCATGCTATATTCTTCCCACATTCCTATGCTTTCTATATTATTTATACCTCCTGTTATAAAGTTTCTGACAGTGTCATTGGACTTTATCTTCTTTAAGAGGGATATTACTGTACTTAATAATTTTGGCTTTAAGAGGATCAAAATATACTGTTTTAGTCAAACTCCTAAAGAAAATTGGCATATAGACACATATTTCAAGCTTTAATTCTTGATATTTTTAAAATATTTGATTCACTTTTTTCATACTATTCTAAAACAGGGCCCATTGTACTGAGGCATAAAGAGTGTAATCCATTTAAGATAAAACTATAGTTCTGTCAGAAATGGACCCCAAATTGTTCATTTAGGATTAGATACACTATGCTGTCTTAATCTCTTCTCTGCTTATGCCATTTAAAAATTTCCTTATTGGAAAATAATCTGGAATATACCAAAGAGGCCACGACTGTATTCAGAAATTTCCATTTCTTTAGACAAAGCAAAACCTCAAACAGTGTATACAAAGCCTTGCTGGGTTGTTGGGAAGATTAAATGAGATAACGCATGTAAAGCTCTTTGAAACCTATAAAGGATTTCTTAACCTGGAGTCTGTGAACTTAAAAAAAATTGGTAACTATTTCAGTATAATCGGCCTTCTTTGTAATCTTGTCTTTTATTCTAGACTATCAGAGGGGTCCATAACAAAAAAAGTTAAAAATCTCTGCTGTATATAAATACTAGCTATTTTAATTTTTTCCTTCACCCTGTCAAATGGTTAGGAAGTTTTTAGTGCTAGTTAAGAGTCATTATTGTAAAGTCCTTTCTATAGGCTTCACCGGTTAACTAGCATTTTATTAAACCCTATGTCTCATTATTCTCAGGCGCAGGTATAATAAAATTACACTGTGATGGACAGACTATCAGTCAGTCCCTTCTAAAACAGGTGGTTTTATAAAAGATTTTGCTTTCAGATCTTTGGGTAAAATGTAAACTCCTCAAGGACAGGAATTGTTTTATTTTTGTATCACCAAGACCTAGCACAGTTTCTGGCATACAGTCAGTGTTTACGAAATACTTATTGATTAGGGGGAAAAATATGATCAGGAAGAAAAAGTTATTACATCTAAAAACTTCAGCCAAATAATTTATCACTTGTAACTGATGTTAGCAGTATAGCCAACTCCATGATTCACTGACTTATCGTCTAGTTTGGGATTGATAAGAATAACATTTGTACAGTGCTTTAAAGGCTTGCAAACATTTTTCACACCATTCATTACTTGTATCTGCTCACCCATTGAACTGATAGTCAGTCCTGGTTTCAAGCCCATTACTGGTTTCAAGTCTTAAATTTTGCTACTGATTATCTGAATAACTTTGTACAAGTCGTAACCTCTCTGGGCCTTCGGTTTTCTTATATAAAATGGTTTCTCTTTATATAAAATATAAAAAAAGGAAGCTGGATTAGCTCAAATGGCAGTCTGGTCCATTTCCTCATCCATTGTTGCTTGGCAATCTGTACATGTTATTCCTATCCCGTTTATCAGGACTACTCATCCAGCTGAAATATTAGATGATTCCATGACCATGTTGGGGGCTCATTTAATATCTCCTGAAGATTTCGCCTCAATAGAGGTGAAGGACAAACCAGTCAATTATATCACTTGTTATTAGTTCCAGTAAAAGTTTGGTGGAGAGGCAGTTGAAATTGAGTGTTAGCATTATCTTTAATTTATCTATTAACTGTTCTTCCTGTTTCATATTATGGATGGTCTAGACAATCTAGTCTTAACAGTTTTCACTTTTTCTACCATGTGCCAGGGTGATTGATCTTCAGGGTAATTAACTGAGAGGTAAGCCTCTCACTGGTTAATCCAACCTTTCAGAGGTAAGTCATCTCCCTTCACAGCTTGTGGATTCTCATGAGAACTGTGAATGACATGTTTATACATTATAATGGAATGTTAAATGCTTGGAATGTTCATTTTAATGGAATGTCAAGTATACTCTAATGCCACTCTACTGGGCTGTGCCAATGATAGGGCAAACTAAACAAGATGTGGAGTCTTTCATTTAATTGCCTCTCAACCTGACTGAATATCTCTTCACTTTTTTGTGTAGGTCAGCAAATTTTGAGTCTCGCAAGGACTATAAGGCAACATGGGTTGAAGGTGGAGAAAATTCACCTGGTAATGTGGTTTCTAAGCAGCCAGGCCGTATGACAAATGGTCAGCCTCAGCAAACAGCTGCAGGAGGAGCCAGTGGTGGCTACATTAAACGGTAGATCTATTTCTCCCAGCAACTTTCCCCATTTCTTTTATTTTTTTCAATAATTTTTTTTCCAATTACATGTAACCTTATGTCTTTTAACTCAGGGCATTGAGTTTCCTTTCTTTGCTAGAATAACTTTGCATGAGTTCTTAAATGGCATTAAGGTAGCTATGTTAGAAATTTGCTTTTCTCTACATATATACATAACAGATATTGCACTCTTATCTATTAGTTCTTTGAGTTTCACTGTTAATCTTTCAGGAAGACCACTCACTTAATTTACACTACTTGATGTTCATCTATAATGAAAAGATAGCTGATGTCAAAGAGTGTTGAGGATGCAGTCAGGCTGCTTTTGAAAATGAAAAGTTGTTTTCTCATTGTCAAGAAGCCAGTTCTGGCAGTCATACAGGTTTTTGGGGCATACCACATGTGAATCCTGTGGTAACATTTAATTGTCTCCATGATAGGATAACTAATGATGCCAGAGAGGATGAAATGGAAGAAAATTTGTGTCAGGTGGGCAGTATACTGGGGAACTTGAAAACCATGGCCATAGACATGGGCAATGAGATTGACTCTCAGAACAAGCAAATAGGCAGAATCACCGAGAAGGTAAGATCCTCATAACTTCTCTTGTCCCCTTTCTTCCATAGTAGTCACTCAGGCATTTATTGAATCCCTGGCTTTGTGCTGGGGTGTTATGGGAGGATCCCAGTAAGATACCATCTTTACAGCATAAGGGTTTGATGGGTAGGCAATAATAACAACAGTTATAAATAAAATTAACAGCATATAATCAAGGGCCAAATTATGTGATTGAGATATAAATCCTACAGGTCTTTGGAGAAGAGGGGGCTAACTAGGAGAGGAAGGAGGAGGGACTTGATGAGAGGATAGGATTTTTATTGAGAGAAAGAGAGAGGGAGAGCGGGGGAAAAAGTAGGAGTAAAGGCATTGAGGTTGAAACCCCTGAGGCTCGGGGTAAGCCTGAGACCTTGTGGAAACACTCAAGAATATATCCTTGGTGACATTATGCCACCTTATTCAAGAGGAATGTTCCATACCTCACTGGCAAAGATTTGAACTGGGAAACAAGAATAGCACAGTTCCTTCAAGTGACTTTTCATGTTCACGTTGTTCTGACGTGCACTTGACTTCTCTCCCCCCTCTCTATTTCAGGCTGATACTAACAAAGATCGTATTGATATTGCCAATGCCAGAGCAAAGAAACTCATTGACAGTTAAAGATGTTGCTGCTGCCTTCATCCAAGAATTCTTTCATCTGCTACATCCTTCAGTTCTTCCTGAGTCACTCACTACCTTTCAGTGTTTGAAATTTCTTTGCCCCAACAACCCTCTCTAAGCAAAGAGATGGGAAGAAAGGGTCAGAGGAGTGAAACAGATCCCTGCCAGCTGGTTTCAGATTCTTGCTCTTTTCCCTTGTGAGCAGATTGGTATAAACTATTTAGTCTTCCCTTTGGGATTTTCCTCCTCAGTACACAGGCTGAGGTTGTGTTGCAAACCCTTAAAATTGTTTTATATCCTTGTTCCCCTCGAGCAGATTTTTGCTTTCAGGATTTTTAAGCATTGCCAAAGACAACAATGGAGGAGAGAGAGTGTATATACTCTGGGATGGGGTAGGGAGGGAATTGTGAGGTTTGAGAGGATTGTTTGTTGTTGCTTCTGTTATACCAGTAGAAGTTCTACAGGCCCTAACTACATTGAAAAGTTACATAGAGAAACTGCCTAGTCACATCCCATCTTCCTTTGAAAATAATTGGGTTCATTGCCAGTTTATTTGGCCCTGGGCAAGTCATTCAGCCTCTTGGTGCCCCCAGGCAGCTGCCTGTGACTCTAGAAGTTGCAGAGCGTGCATGTCCCTATCTGCATCAGATGAACTCATTGGCTGCTGGTTTGTTTTTGGAGATTATGATTCTTCAAATCATAAAATCTTAAACATGCAGAACAGAGTAACTTTTTTTTTTAATAAAGGAACTTAATTTTTCTCCAAAGGATTTCTATACAGACATGTTTTGTGATCCCAGTTCATGCTGCACTTTCTAGAACACTTTGCATAACTTCATGGTTTAAAATAAAAAACATTTGTAGCATCATTTTCCCATTACAAGGCTGTATCCTCATTAATTTATCATCTCAGTGTTGATATCATTCGTTTGGGAGAAATTGTATTTACAGGTTAAAACATCGATATTTCTTCAAAGGATGACAAATTGGTTAACAAATTGTATAAAAATGAATTCAAGTTTACCTCAAAACCATGAATTATGGTGTGGTGGTTTTTTTTGTTTTGTTTTTGGAGGAACAGTTTGGGAGTTGTAATAAATATGACCTCAAAAAAAGTAGTTGGGTTGCTTTGATATCCTTACAACTCTCAGCTTTAAAACTTGTTACCTTTCTCTGCTGTAGGAGTCTGTCCATTCTAGACTATGCTTGTTTCTGTTCAACTAGAAGTGACCTGGAAAATCACAAGTTTGGCTCAGTTATTAGTGAAGACAAATGTGATTGCACTATCTTTTTTTTTTTCATATTTAACATAAATATCCAGCATCAGATTTGGATCCTCAACATTACCTGAAAGCCTATATGAGCTGATCGTAATATATTTGTACCCTTTTCATTCACATATCAACACATGCATATCGGCTGTTTTTCTGGACTAGTTTGACACTTGCAATTAAATTCTGTACCTGACCAGTGGGATGTTCTCTCTCAAGGTGGTAGAAATTCTTTTTGATCACAATTTTGGGAGAAGTGAGTCAACTCAACTTGTGAAATGAAAGAAAAAAGGTCTGTGCGTGAAGAGCCAAGTTGAAGCTGCCATTAGAATGATCAGGTTTCTGTTAATAAAAAAAATTTTTTTTCTCTTTTATGTTGAATTTGTTTCCTTTTTAGGATTGCTTTGTCTGATATTTATTTCTCCAGACTATCATTTCTTTTAGATTTGCTCAGTTGGCATTAGTTGAATTAAAGGCTACATATTTTGTTTATGATAGAACTCTAAATCAATTGCTAATGAAATAGATACAGATGAACTAGCTCTTGCTGTAATAGTAACGTATGTATACCTCTTTTTTTAATGTAACTTATTAGTTTTTGCTTTGAGGTTAAAAACATATGCACACTTGGTATATCCTTTTCTTTTTCTAGTATCTGCTGTTGATAGAAAGGAGTGTCTTATTATTATAGCTTTCCTGAAAGAACTAGGCAGTCAGTTCTAGTCTGGACCAGACTCATGGAAAATGAGCCCAATACTAACTTTATCCACTTACCTACTTTACAGGCTGTTTAGAAAGAGCCTTCCAAAACTTAAAAGTGTTACACAAGTGTGAGTTGTTGCTTTGAAAAATAAAATCCGACTAAGTTTCACAGAAAAAATACTAAACACAGAGTTTTGTGGAAGCCTACCTTCAGTAGTTTTTGAATGGAATAGGAAATTGATTTAGTATTCAATTAGAACTTTTTAGCTTTGGGTACATAGAACTGAAAACTGCCACTTGGTTATGAATAACATTGATAAAATAGAAATCAAGGCATTAAGACATTTTGGCTACTTTTTTCAAGATGATGATGAAGCAAAGCAAGCACTCAGAAGCTACGAAACTTCCTGTCTTCAAATATATTGCCTATCCCTCTTTGTTCTTCTTCTTTTTATCGCTGCCCTGGCTATGTGAGCATTGAAATAGTAAATGAATGGAAATGTCTTCCTAGAGAACAAAACAATGGCAATGTCCAGTTGATCAACCAACTCACTTCCAGCTAGAATGTTATGTGCAGAACAGTGGTTCTGTTGTATTCCTGTTTTGGTACTTATCACAAGATCAGTCCAGGAGCACATTTAAGTGCCAAGTTAGTTGCTTCCTTGTTAGAGATGACGTATTTTGAGATATTCCAGGAACTACAATGTTCACCCAATCTTGGCAGGTGACCTGGAGAACTCTGAATGGGCCTATTTAGGCTATGGTAGGAAAAGAGGTAATTTTATGAATAAAATGGTAGAAATGGTGTTATGTCTAGATCGCTGTTAATCTTTTTTTGCCCTTATTTAATTAGGTGCCCTTAGCTTAATTTCACTCTACATCAGTTAAACTACCATTAATTTAGTGCTATATCTGACCATTCATGAGACTTCTGGATCTTCATGTCATGGCCACTTATTGTTGATATCATTGATGGCTCTGTGCTGGGCCCAATTTTCTCTATCATTAAAGGCGGCTAAATGACACAGTGGATAGAGCTGGGCCTGGAGTGAGAAGGAACTGAGTTCAAATGTGGCCTTGGACACTTAACTAGTTGTGTGACCCTGGGCAAGCCACTTAACCTCTGAGTGCCTCATTTTCCTCAACTGTAAATTGTGGGTGATAATAATAGCTCCTACCTTCCAGGGTTATTGTAAGGATCGAATGAGATATGGAGATATAAAGCACTTAGCACAATGGTTGACACACAGTAGATACTTAACGGTCTTATTCAGTGATCTTATAAGCTCCTACGGATTCAGTTATCTCCATATATCATTTATCTAACCCTAGTCTCCCGAGTTCTTGACATACATCATGTCTATTGGATGATTCAGATTGGTTGATCCGTAGCCATATCAAACTCAACATATCCAGAACAGAATTCATTTCTCCCCCCTTCCCCGTTCTCCCTTTTCCAAACATCCCCGATATTGTTGAAAGTACTACCATATTTCTGGTCATCCAGGTTTACAGCTTCAGTGTCATCCTTGGTTCTTTTCTCTCATCCATCCCATGCATAGGTTCCCAAACTTACTTGGCTCACTGCCTCCTTTAAAAAAAAAATTAGCACTTCCCTGGAAGTCTACTTTCTTTAACCCTCTAATGGTTTGTTTGAAATTTGCACCAGCCAAGGCTACTACCCACGCCCCTGGATTGATGCAGGCCCCCCCCCCCCGTATCACCTACTTTGGGAAGTTAGGACCCCATATTATCAACTCAGCTAAGAAATTTTGTAATTTCTCTACATCATCTTTCCTATACATACTGTCCACTCACACAGTTACCAACGTAATTCAGATCACCACCACCTCTTGCCTGGATTATTACAATAGTGAATAAATCAGCATCTTTCAGAAGCTCTTGAAAAAGTTAGGCTACTTACTGATCTCCCTGTAGCTCTTATGTTATAGTGCCTGTTCCAACAAGCCATTTACTTATACCTGCACACAAATCTTCCATCTTTATGCCCTTTTTAAAAGGGGAGTAAAGGTTTGAAGTGGAGTCTGGACCTTAAGACAAGGTCCTGGGTAGAGTAGGGTCCTGGTACAGTAGAAAAAACACTCAATTTGTAATCAGGAGTACCTGGGTTCAAATCCTGCCTTCTGACACTTAACTGCATGACTTTAGGCAACATCTCAGCCAATTTCTTCATCTCTAAAATCGATAGCATCTTATCTCACATGGCTGCTGTGAGGGACAAATGAAATGGTGCATGGAAAGTTGCTTTGCACTTTAATGGCTTATGTAAGTACTAGCTTTTTTTTTTTTTTGCTTTTTTAGGCAGTTGGGGTTAAGTGACTTGCCCAGGGTCACACAGCTAGTCAGTGTCAAGTATTTGGTCTGAGGTTGGATTTGAACTCGGGTCCTCCTGACTTCAGGGCCGGTGCTCTATCCAGTGCGCCACCTAGCTGCCTGAGTACTAGCTATTATTAAAATGAAAAGCTGTCTTAACATATGAAATATTTGAGGGCAGAGCTGTCATTGGGCCCACCCAGTAGTACCTAGCACTATCCATCCCGGGTATGCATAAATATTTGTTAATTACCAAAGCTGCTGTTTTCATAGGCTGCCCTTTCCACTCACCATTCCTAACATTCCCTCCATGAGAAAATTCTAGCTTACATTTTTAGGATCAGAGATTTGGGAATAAGTCTGTTTATCTCAGTCTGATTCTTCTACTCTTCATTGTACCTGCATACAGAACAAACACCTGAGGCAGAATATCCAGCAACCAGTATGTATTGGAAGAAACATGAAAGGAAGATAATATACTCAGCTTGTGCTAATATTACATGCACTGTGGTAGAGAAACATGTTCCTTGCTTTTTACATATAAAGACAACATTGTTCTCTTCAAATATATTTAAGTACATACTGCATATCACATGATAGCATTTTATTTCAACACCAAAAGGTGTGCTTTCACTGTGGGCACTCCACTTTATCAGCAGATCAAAACCATTCCCTAGGCAAAATTTAGTAGACTTATCTTCATGAAGTACCATTTATGGCTTAAACTTAGTGATAAACTCTAAATTCAGGTAGGCTGCTTGGACAACAGACTATACATAGAGCTTGTAGTCTATAACCAGTCTACAGAGGAAATGTCTTCTAATCTGGCAGGACCTGCTGGAGCTTGTGTTTAGCCACCTATGGCTGTCATCATGACCAGATGAGGCATCAGAATAAGACTTCAGTGGAAGTATTATATTTTTTGCTGGATTACATAGAGGACAGCAATATGGTCTTACAAAGAAAAGAGATAGTTGCACAAACCAGAAAAATAGTCTTGAGTTCTCAAGTATTAGAAGCTTTAATTTAAAAAAAATTTTTTTTTAGGCAATTGGGGTTAAGTGACTTGCCCAGGGTCACATAGCTAATAAGTGTTTGGTCTGAGGCCCGATTTGAACTCAGGTCCTCCTGACTTCAGGGCTGGTGCTCTATCCACTGCGCCACTTAGCTGCCCCTGTATTAGAAGCTTTCGCAGTCTCCCACTTAGGCTTTATGGTAAATGCAGTACTATTTGTTTCTTTGGAGTGCTGGTTATAAGTTTTCTCAATGACAATTCTGACACGATGGTGTGTGGTGTAAATGCAAAATACTAGACTTGGGAGGAAACCTGGGTTAAAATCCTAGCCATGGAACTTGGCTGTGGACCTTGGACAAGCTGCTAACCTGTTTCTTCACTGGATTAAGCCCAACAAGTATTTAATAAATGTCTTTATATACATGCAAAGCACTGCTAGGCCAGAGAAATGAAAAACATCTGTCCTCAGTACTTGTCATAAGCTGTATGTCTCAGCTTACTTCCATTCTCAATTCGAATCACCTCTCCCTTTGAGCTATTGCACTAGCCTAGTGGTTCTCAAACTTTTCCAGTGGTAGAACCTTTCAGTTTCAACAAAACTTTGGCAGAACCTTTGCAGTATAATCCTCTAAAACTATTTTTAATGTCTGTTAACATAAGGCTCAGAAAAACAACAAAAACAAAAAAGCCCTGGTGTTTCGTGGTTCCTTGCAGCAGTTTTGATACACTGCAATATCCCAACAGGTCTGCCTCATGGGGTATATCTCTTCATCAATCTATCCTTCAGAGAGCTGCCAAAGATAATATTTCTAAAGCACAGCTCTGGTCTCCTCAAACTCTCTGTTGTCTGTTACTTGTGTTACTAAATATAAACTCCGTTTTGGCACTTAAAATTCCTTCACCAACTCTCACCTACCTTTCCAAGCTTGCTATACATTGTTCCCGTTGGAGCCCTCTGGTCTGAACAGACTCATTTCCTGGTTTTTGTAACGCTTCATCTCAAGGCTTTTGCAAAGGCTATTCTCTGTGCTGTGACCTCTTAGAAATATAATCCCCTAGCTATTTTCAAAGTTTAGATCAAGTGCTTCTTTTCTGAGGCCTTTCCTGCCTCTTCCCTGACCCCCTCCTCTTCAAGATGTTAATGCCTCTCCTCTGAAATGACCTTGGATTTACTTTGAATATATTTGTGTACGTAATTAATTCCCTTAGCAGAATAGAAGCTCCTTGAGGGCAGAGGCTATTTCATTTTGGTTGTTAATATAAATGCATATTAATTGTTCTCTCAACTCTTTTCAAAATTAACTTTTTCTGTACTCCACCCTA